TTGTTGTTAAACAGCTTTAAATAAAACTGGATATTGTTTTCATTAAAAATCTTTTGAACTATTTAGTTTTGGTGCATGACAAAGGACAACTCTCATTAAGATCTAACACATTTTTAAGAATTTCAGTTCTGTTCATTCAAATTTCCTAATGTCATCATTAGAAGTATGGACATAAAGTTGACAAAGACACCAAGCATTAATACATGAACCTCACAGACAGCCTAAAAAATTACATTCTTTAATAAACAAATTTCCCAACTGGCTAAAACAATAATCATATGCAAGGAAATAAACTTAATGAAGGGACTTAGTGTGACTAGGTGAATCAAAACTGTGGTTAAATTCTGAAACCATGAAACAGGGAAACAAGCTGAAACATTTTGCAATTTTTATCATGTCTTTTGAATGTTCACATAAGTAGTTCAAAAAATGGACTGAGAAAATTAAAACAAACCTTAATGGACATGATATATGTAATTCATTTTCAGCATCTGTGACATGAAATGACACATTAGATAACACTGGCTTCCACATGTAGAATTCCAAATTCTCAATAACAGATGTTTCTAAGAACACGTACTGCTACTCAAACATTCTGAATTTTCTTTTGGATCATCACATGCAAATAGCAAATAGTAAAAAGTGACAAATAACAAGAGGATATAGAAAGCAGTATAATTACATAGTTTCAAAATGAATGAAGGATGAAAATAACATAAGATATATAGTTGTAATGGCAACTGAACACAATGAAATCTCAGGTGATAAGCTTTGCAAACATGTAATTTGTTTCAAATGCAAGCAAAAAACCCAAAACTAATTTCATGCTGACATAGCTAACCTCAAATGAGGGGAAGAACTTACTTGAACTCCTCTTCACTCTGTGAAAGTGCCAGCTGGAGTCTCACATCGTCACTGCGTCTTCTCTGTTCTTCTTGCTCTGCCTCCTCTCGAGACATTGCAAGTGCCAACTGAAGTTGTAATTCTTCTTCCCCAACAGTCTGTGGGCGGGCTGTTTCCAATTCTAAAAAATGCCCACTTCACATCAGCTCACAACATGTAACAGTGTTTATAAGGGATGACTGATTATTCTTCTTCATGTGTACAATGTCACACGATAAGCATATTTTGTACTGACTTTGGAATACCACTTTTCTTTCCTTTAATTTACACCAATAACAGAAAATAACACTCACCTGCTGTCTGGGAACTTAAAGTATTGTAAACATTAGGAAACTACAAAGCAATTTATGAACATTTGTGCACACTACCATAAAATGAATCATGTGATATATAAGAAAGTAGTGTAGGTAATAATGATGCAAATTATTTAATTGAAAATTGGAGTAAAAGTGTTGGAAACAGTTGGACTAATGTAACTGTAAAAATAAAATAAACTACATAAATATACAAGTCATAAGAAAACTGTATTAATCCCTGAAGTCACATTTTACATCACAACTACACTCACTACACTCTGGAATAGTGTTTGAACTGCTGTGTAGCAACCTGTTCAACACTTTGCCATATTATGTAAAGTATTCAACATACTTAAATGAATTTTTGTGAAAACTTCCATTTTGAGAGAAAGGTAAATACCAAATAAATGAACCTACACACACTAATTATTTCCGCACACAAAATATTTACCTCTAGATGTTGGTTCTACTTCACAAGATGACCAACTACCTTGGAACTGAAAAAAATAAAATAAAAATTTACGATCAGATGTATACACCATGTTTCATAAAACTAAATAATCAACAAAATAAAATGCAGAAATACACCATGTGAGAGTTCAAATTCTTAAGGTGGTGGGTATGAAGATGACTGTTATCTGGGATTGTGAATCATGAAGTCTCATAGAAAGTGACCTAAGTTTCAGAGGTACTAACTGGAGGCAGTAAGCATGTCTCAAATGTTGGTCAACTTCTACAAGACTACAAGGTGCACCATCCCTGAGAACAGTCATCTTCAGAAATACACCTTTCTGTTCTCAAAAGTGACTTCATAGCCAAACATCATTCTATATATTTAATGCAAATGATGATGCCTCTTCAATTTATATGCCACAAAATATGTTTTAAAGCTGTCAAGAAATAGTTATGCCAGTAATAATTATATCTGTAGACTACTATTTGTGCTACACAATGTACAACAGGAAACAGACCTCCAGGAAACCCACTGCCATTCTATTGGCCCATGAATCAGAAAATGTTGAGAACTACTGAATCATAACATTTCCTACCAGTTTGCCAACAAGAGACAGATTATTTTAAAAGGAATGCTGTTCCTGGTTTCTTACTTATATCACCTTTGCCTCTCCCATGCACCTGACACTAGAATCTTCCTGTCATTGCCTTACTCTATCCAAATCACTCTCTTAAATGATAAAGTAGAATAACTAGAATAAGCAGTAGTTCTGAAATGGAAGGCTGTCCACATAACAAACAGTGACATACATGTCTGATCTGTAAGACTGATAATTTTTAATTACCTATACATGTTTAAACTGATTCACCTGTCCTGGCTCTAAATGTAATTCTGAAAGTTCTATCTTATGAATTTTTAAAATTTAACTACAAAAGGTATGAAAACATAATCACTTGTCTCTCCATCACTTCCATGGACATACCACATATCTTTTTCCCTTAGGCTATTCATTAATCACTTCTGAGATACAGAAAGGTTTTATTCTTTCTAGATATTTGAACCATTTTGTATGTCTCAGTTTAAAATATTTTCAGTTTCCTTTTTCTGCACTGTTCACAAAGTTTGTATAATCTGTAAAAACATAAGCATCTGGTCTCTACTTATAGTGAATACACACCCAACACCAATTAAAAAGTATCTTGTAATACAGAAGTTTTTTAATTATATCAATATATATATATATATAAAATTAAAGAACAGAGAAACCAAAGTGAAACACTCACACCAGCAGGGAAACTTGGACTCGAAGGAGAGACAGTGTCCTGCACAGAAACATCAAAACAGAGAGGTCAGTGTTAGCTACCAACAGGAAAACAACAAACCACATTAAGCACACATCAGAAAAGCAATTTTTAAAGGCAAATTATGCTAGTGTGATATAACGGCATATAATTAATCCCTACCATACTTGGAAATTAAATCCCAGTCATCCAGTCTGTAGCCAGTTACTTTATGACTGAGTTGCAAGTGATTATATCAGGAGTTATGGATGTGAATTCAAGCAGTTCTTAATACAATTTATTTTCACAGATTTCACATCACAATATCACTAAGCTGTTTTACAAGGATAAATAAGTTTTAGAATAGATGTCTCATTTCCAAGACTATTTCATACAGTTCCTATTGATTTCTTAACAACCATAACCCAAATACATTTTTAATTGGGATACAAAGTACTTGTAACTAATTATAAATTGACTTTGCAAAAAGATAAATAAAGGATCATCAGACATATTTTTGGCCAAGTCACACATGAGCACCATAAACATAAATACTTTCACTAAGGGCCACACTACTGAAACTTCACTTACCGTTCCCTCACTTCCAAACCCAGAAGCTGCTTGGGCAAAGCGCTCCTTAGCTTTTAAAGCACGTGCTCTTTCATTACGTAGACGCTCATCATCCTTCAACAGCAACACGAGCTGTTTTGCCTTCTCACGCACATTCAATCCCTGGTCCTTGCTCTCCTCAAAATACTGAAAATCCTTTAATGTCTGAATTGCATAGATATTTTCCTTACACTGCTGAGCAACCTGAAATATGACCAGTCATCAAGACACAATGTTCCTTTGAACATGGGAATCCAATGTCATACTGAACTCCCACATATGACTTGTCTCCCATGTACACCCTCCTTTCAGGTTTCCAAAACAAAACTTAACATGAACTTCAACTTTCACACATGCCAAATTTAGTAACAAAACAGAAAACCATATTCTACACATTTTATAAAGATGTAACAATGGTTGATTCATTACATAACTATGTTAGACACTGTCAATGGCTTAGTATCCACAGTATACACAGTGTTTCATAAGTCAGCTTATGCTTGTCTTTTGGCTGTCAATGCACTGACAATACACAATACGAATGACTGTCAGTGACGGATAAGGAGTTTACAACATAAAGCCCCAACCAAACTGTAAGTAAAGCTCACTGAATCACTGCTGCACTCACCTTTTCTGTGCCAGTTTTAATGAGGTATTCTAGAAGAACAAGGGCTTTGTAAACATGCCGCCAATTACGGCCATGGTCATTGAGCCGCTTCCATATCATCTGCATGATCTCGGTGAAAGCAACCACATTATATGTGAGGTCAGCAATCTCTGACATGAGGGTACTACTTGGGCCCCATGGATCATTGCTAGTTGCTTCACGAACTTTTACCTGCGCATCCGAGTAATTGTGCGCAAGATTCTTAATATTTCTTCTTAAGCCCGCCACGTTGACTTGCATATCTTCCTTCTGCCTCCGCATCTGCCACAAAAATTAAACACACATGATATACTCAGACACTACATTTTACTTCAGTGACTTAACTAGCATTACAAGAAATAATTTGTTGTAATTTTCTGTATTTCCAGAGTTAACTGGTGATACCGATTACAAATTATACAATGCATGTATTAAACCAAAACACACAAATTAAAAGTGAAAAATAAATGGCCTTTTTGAAACCCAAAGGTTCATTAATATATTAACAAGAACCAGCCATGTGACCTGTCCTGAGATGTTAAATAATTGTACTATATTTTACAATGCATTCAGTACCTAAACTATATATTGTTTCCAACACATCATTTACTAATCATTCTACTATTTGATGCTATGTAATCTGAGCTACTCATCATTAAATAAATCATAAATACAAACAAATTTTCCTACTCCTAAACAAGGAAGAGTAACAATACTGCCACAAATTTCTTACAGCAAAACCAGGTAGAACATAATATAATACCTGAAAATAATAATCCTGTATATTGCTTAATTTTCTAGCTCTCCATTTTGATTTTGTTACAACTCAATACCTCATCAGATTTAACTGAGATCATAGAATTTCCAAGTTTTATAAACAATTGTAAATTGGTTTTAATAGGAATCATTCATAATGTTCTGTTGTACTACCCATATTGTATGATAATTTTCCAGGATATTTAGCACCAGAAAATAAGGAGACATGCAACAAATACAAGCCACAACCACAATGATTTTACAACAAAAAGAAACTAAAATCCTTACCAAAAACAGAGACTAGAGTCCCAAGAGTCCATTATAAGACTGCAACATTTTATCAGAGAAGTGAGATAAGATACCATGATTCCAAAGAGTCTTTTGTGATAAAGATAAAGTTCTACCATACCTACCCAAACATACTGAAAAGAAGAAAGCCCACCACAAAAACTTGCCACACTTACAATTAAGTCTTTGCCGACCAACTACGTGTATCGCCCTGTTGACGTCCTATATCCAACACCTGTGGTGGGGGAAAAACACAATGATGAAACTGTAACGCACATAACTTACTATATTGGAGGATTATTATGTTTGAAGACTAGAGATAAATCTGTCTCTCATTTCTCATTTGTGAAGTTCAGCTGTCTGTATGCATTTCTAACTGGTAGGTGAGTCAACACATATTACATGATATGCCAACTGGTTTGCTATTATCAAAATATAATTTACATGGTTTTATTTCCCTCATCAACCCACAGAGGCAAAAACAATCATTTTAATCACACAGAATCAGCTACATGTGGCACATTTTCAACAACCTTGAGGCATTAGTCTTACACCCTTCAAGGTGTTCTTTCCGGGTGCAACATAAAATTCACAATTCAAAGCCAGGCTAACGTAAAGGCATGCTTGCTCTACACATGTAACCTCCCCAACAAAAGACCTGAAAGAGATTACATATTAATTTTTACTGCAATAAATTCCTTGCATTTACCCGACTTCCTTCAACACCTTTCATTGTTATGGATATCACACTTAATACACAAGGAAGAGAAAATTGGGTATTATGGATGCAACAGTTCTGCAAAGGTACAGTGTGCTACAACATGGACCTTTCTTTGCTGCCCGTAAATATACTGACATAGTTTAAGTTAATCATAATGGAGGCTAGTCACAGTCACGTAATTCTTAATTTTAATGTAACACTTTTGAAATATGCATAAATGAAAATATTTCGTTATGTAAATGCTCAGACTATGGTGATTACGGGCTAACATACAGCCTATCAACATATATAATCTTATAAACAGTGAAAGGGTAATGGACTCAATCTCAAAATACTTGTGTATAATCATACAGTTGATCAACTATGTAAGTTTTTTTACTAACAACAACAACAAAAATCCACCAACTCCATGCAGCAGAGTTCTTTACTAGCTAACAGTTCAAGAAATTACCCTCTTTTAAATATGAAGATTCCTTAACTTGTATACTAGAATCTTAAATCCTTTCATATCGTTATATATCCAACAACTACTAGCACTGAGCAGAACTATATTATAGAACAAAAGCGTTTTGGCCCCAAGGGGTCATCATCAGACCAGAAAAAGTACTCCCTGAGAGGATCATCTGATTAATAGTTAGTGAAGAGTAATTTTTTCCTTCCTTGACCCTTGTACTTTAGCATACGATTCTGAAACTTCTGAACACTAAAAATTGAAATTAATATTGCTTCGCTAACATCCAATATACTGTCCTGAGCACTTTCAAAAACCAAAAGACCTATAAAAAAAATTCATACATCATGGTCCTGGACACTGTAAAAATACCAAATATTTAGCTTTATGGTAAGACATAACAAGCATACTTTTCCAGGTTTCACTTCTGATCATGGGATCTGTAATTTAGTACGGAGTAGGAAGGTCAACAAACAGACTCACTTGTTCAAAATTGCAGATGTGGCAAAGAATATTAATTACTCAGTATACACATCAAACTTGCCTACCATTAGTTTCACCGGGGGTTGGGGGGTAATAAGATATATATATATATATATATAGAAAATAGTTTATAATGCTGCACTCTGATATATTTAAGATTTTGTTTTGTAACCAAGGATATCTAATTGCAAAATTTGCACCAGAATAGGTGAAGAATGTGTGAAGGTAACACTCCATTCCCAAACATAACTTCACCAAATGATGCTTAATAAAGATGACTTCACCTTTACCTTAACTTTTTATTCACAATTTACAAACAAAACAAAATTACAAAAAATGCATAATACAAGAATTTCATACGTGACCACAAACTAAATTGTTAATCACTTGGTTTCTCTTAACTTGAGAAGAATAGCAATGTTTCATTTCTACTTCATTTAAAAAAGCTTTCATAAAAAATCTATCATATTGTGTATGTCAGTCTTCTGGGCAGTAATTCCATGTGGACTTACAGGCAGATACATATGTTTCAGAAGAACATTCTGCCTACCTGTGATGGTTCCAGCATATATAGTGTTCCACACTCAACATGGAAACAGTTATCATACCATACCACGCCATAGCATAGCAGAAGCAAACAAATTACTGAGAAATGAGTCAGTCAACTAGCAGGAGACTGCTAATGCATGCACAGTAGGTAGACTCTCTATGCAAGGAAAATTTCTCTAACCTCAGAACCTCTGCTTTACGTGTAGCAGATTATATTTAAAAAATTTCCAGGGGTAAGTAAATCATGACAGTTGCTAGGATTTACTTACTGTGCTTCTATATTAGCTAAGCCAACATGAAAAAATGGAAAATATGACAGCTGTCACAAACAAATTCACATCATTTTCGCATCAGTGAATAATGCTGCAATATGCACAAAATATGGTTGTGAAGTTACGTACCAACAATTCAGTCTGTCTTATAAAGTATTTTCTTTGGGAATGATCTGTTGTCTGTACTAAGAAACACATACAGGATTTTTAAAGTCAGCTATGAATCTTCGTTTAAGAGATGTTCCTTTTACATGAATATGAAGAGTTAGTTTTCAAAAAGTCAGAAAACATTTGATTTACACAATGCGCAACTTTGTAAACCTTAAATGTTGTACCTTTCTTAAACAGTATATTATTACGAGTGGAATATCAAGTAGTGCAATGCTAACGAAAAGTCACATACCTACGTGAGTATTTTCCATTAAATTCTTACGTAGGGCTTGAGCCTACTATAAGATATTACACCCAGAAAAGGACGTACTGCGCTATAGTATATTAAACATTTTACACATGTCTGTTGAACAACTATTATGGAAGGATAAGTAATACGTTATTCTATCTGTCACAGTGTTATATGAAATTACGAAATTGGCCTCGAGCATTCCATAACCAAAGATAGGCGATTTGGGCTTGCCCAAAGACCAAGAATTTTTACAATATCCATTGGTAGAAATTACCTCTGACAACAATTACTGGGTATCGGAGTAAAATATTCAACTTGTACACGAAATAAGTAAATTTATAAATTGCTAACAACCAAAATGAAACATAAGTAATGACAACCCCATTCACTTCTGACGAATCACGAAACAGTTACAAAAATGGCGCCTACTTCCGGTTTCGTCCACATTAGATCAGACATAATATCACTTATGAAGTTTAATAAGTTGCGAAAACATCATCTCCGATGGTCAATATATAGTTGTATAGTTCCCAGTTCGTCTTCATGCAAATTTTATTTTTTTCTGACGGGCAGTAAAAATGATTTATACTAAATTAGCCAGAATGTCCAACATGAATAGCCAAAACTGTGGTTTAACATCGTTGATTGACTACATAGAAGATGACTGACTGCTAATGCATGCACAGTAGGTAGACTCTCTATGCAAGGAAAATTTCTCTAACCTCAGAACCTCTGCTTTACGTGTAGCAGATTATATTTAAAAAATTTCCAGGGGTAAGTAAATCATGACAGTTGCTAGGATTTACTTACTGTGCTTCTATATTAGCTAAGCCAACATGAAAAAATGGAAAATATGACAGCTGTCACAAACAAATTCACATCATTTTCGCATCAGTGAATAATGCTGCAATATGCACAAAATATGGTTGTGAAGTTACGTACCAACAATTCAGTCTGTCTTATAAAGTATTTTCTTTGGGAATGATCTGTTGTCTGTACTAAGAAACACATACAGGATTTTTAAAGTCAGCTATGAATCTTCGTTTAAGAGATGTTCCTTTTACATGAATATGAAGAGTTAGTTTTCAAAAAGTCAGAAAACATTTGATTTACACAATGCGCAACTTTGTAAACCTTAAATGTTGTACCTTTCTTAAACAGTATATTATTACGAGTGGAATATCAAGTAGTGCAATGCTAACGAAAAGTCACATACCTACGTGAGTATTTTCCATTAAATTCTTACGTAGGGCTTGAGCCTACTATAAGATATTACACCCAGAAAAGGACGTACTGCGCTATAGTATATTAAACATTTTACACATGTCTGTTGAACAACTATTATGGAAGGATAAGTAATACGTTATTCTATCTGTCACAGTGTTATATGAAATTACGAAATTGGCCTCGAGCATTCCATAACCAAAGATAGGCGATTTGGGCTTGCCCAAAGACCAAGAATTTTTACAATATCCATTGGTAGAAATTACCTCTGACAACAATTACTGGGTATCGGAGTAAAATATTCAACTTGTACACGAAATAAGTAAATTTATAAATTGCTAACAACCAAAATGAAACATAAGTAATGACAACCCCATTCACTTCTGACGAATCACGAAACAGTTACAAAAATGGCGCCTACTTCCGGTTTCGTCCACATTAGATCAGACATAATATCACTTATGAAGTTTAATAAGTTGCGAAAACATCATCTCCGATGGTCAATATATAGTTGTATAGTTCCCAGTTCGTCTTCATGCAAATTTTATTTTTTTCTGACGGGCAGTAAAAATGATTTATACTAAATTAGCCAGAATGTCCAACATGAATAGCCAAAACTGTGGTTTAACATCGTTGATTGACTACATAGAAGATGACTAACAGACACGGCTGACAACCCGAAAGTCATCATACTGAAATCGCCATGAAAGTTTCAAATTTTACAAAATAGCCAACGTTTGTTTTTGTGACATAACATAAAATTACTTATTTACTTAACCAACACACCGTTGTTAATATGAACTACTGTGTTCCACGATTCATTATGTTATTTAACTCCTTTTGTATTACCTATACATTTGTAATTGGATGACACTCATTTTGTTGGCCAACCTGATTATCCGACAGCGTTCAGTAGTAAATGTGACGCATTAAGTGCAATTAACATGTTTTGTCACCGTCTTAGGAGGGAAGTTTGAAGTGTTGATATAGGATTTGGTTCCCGAAACGTCGGTTAACTACGAAACAATAAATAAATTGTCATAAGGTACAATTAAATGATTTTTTAATAGTACTGTAGGTGTTAAACATAGGAGATTCCATATAAACGAGACACGTATTAGGGTTGTGTGCAGAACATGAAAATATTACAAAGACCTGAATATTAAAATGCTTTCAGATGTCAACCAATCAAAAAATTCTTACACTTGTTATGGTGCGTAAAGCAAATGCTATTCTGCTTGGACTCAAGAAGAGGGGATTTGGGGAAGGTAAATGGAATGGATTTGGTGGAAAAGTTGAAAATGATGAGACAGTAGCTGAAGGTGCTATCAGGTAATGCATATTTTGTTAACTTTTGAATCAATGTATTTTACTCTGTCGACTATGTTCTGATTTCAGTCATATTTAAAATTACAGAGAGCTTGAAGAGGAAAGTGGTCTTGTTGCAAAATGTTTGAAGAAGGTTGGAATTTTGGAATTTGAATTTGTTGGTAACCCCATTGTACTTGAAGTCCACGTATTTGATGTTCTTCAGTATGAAGGTGAACCAGTAGAGACAGAAGGTAATACATAGTGTACCCAATAGTAATATTTGAATAAGGACATATTACTTTTAATGTATACATATGGTTATATGAGTAGTGTGTTAAAAAAATTTGTTGCATGTTTGCTTCACCTTTAGAACACTATTATAATATCCCATGAATGTACTTGTAGCCAGATAAGAGAACTTAAAAGTTTACAATTTCACCAAGTTCAAGGCTGAAAGTGCAAACGTAATGTTCATATCCTCCACATGTCTGAGAAAGAAGTGGCATAAGTTGTCCCCATGACTTAGCTATTTAATTATATGTGGAAACTAGACTATTTTTTTTTAATATTTTTATGTTCATGTGAAGGAGAGTTTGTGTGAAGCAAAGCATCCTCTGTTAGTACTGTAGTAGATTGTTGGTAAAGTTGGAAATCACAAGAGGTGGAGAAGATTGATGATATATTTTCAACTTCATAACGCATCTGTAACATATTCCAGAAATGCAGCCTCAGTGGTTCCCTGAAGATAGTGTCCCATATGAGAAGATGTGGCCAGATGACATATTGTGGTATCCTTTATATTTAAAAGGCATTAAATTCAAGGGTTATTTCCTGTATCAAGGCCACGACACCATTCTGAAATATACACTGACACAAGTGGATCATTTGCCATAATAATCAGCAAGTTTGGACCTACTACAGTGAAGAACTATTGAGACAATCTGCATATATCATGGTGTCATGTATGCAAAATTTATTGAAGCTTTCTTCTGGTTTTTAATTATTAAGTATACAACCATTCCTTCAGGACTCAAATTTCAT